TTATTTTTATATTTAAATAGATATTCTGCAGTTATATTAAAGTGTTAAGGGAGTATCTATAATTTCTGAGGGTCGGTAGAAAATATTTAAAATTTAACTAATGTTTTTAAATGATTTAATTTCTATTTTAATTTATTTTATGGTTCTAAAATATTATATATAAATGGTGTCCTTTGAGAATATAATAATTGTATGTAATAGCTGATGCCTGGTTGGGCAGTATAAATTATCTTACTTAAATTGTTTTAAATTAGTAAGTAATATTAGAAACTAATTTATAGGTATTTTCACATTAGTTAATATATATCCTTTACTTATAATTATATTACTATTATTACTATTTTATAGTTATTATTTTATTGAATAGATGTGCTGAGTTCCAATCCAGAACAATTATGTGTGAGGTATCCCAGGTTTAATTTGAATGGCACAAAGCTGGTATGGTTAGAACGCTTAGCAGGTGGACCACATAGTTCATGCTTTAAACTGATCTCTTGTAATTGGTCTACAAAAGAGGTTATTTTATTCACTTTATATTTCTAAGATCTATGAAAATTACAGAAAACACTATAAATTAATATAATAACTTATTATTACTTTAGATTTCTACGATTGTTGATTTTGACAATCAAATACTTCACAATACTAGTGATTATAATGAAGAATTACCATTCTATGGCCTATATGATCTGGCAATATCAAGAAATTGTTGGCTGAATGATGATAAAACCCTAGTATTGAGCACTCCTCAAGGTGGCTCGATACATACATTTGCTATTGATACTGGTAATAGTTATACTACTTTATTAGTTGATACACAAGTTTTAGGTTAAACAAAATGATTTTGAATCCCTAATTATTTTTCAGAATCTAAAGATATCCATTATCTTCCAATCACAAAACCGTTTCATGAAAGTGTTAGTGTATTAGATGTTTGCAATGATGTTTTAGTTTGTTATAAATCATCACTTAATAAGCCTGGACAGTTATTTGCTATCAAAATTCTTTCTACATTTGAAGCATATGATTTTACCAATATTTCCATTAACGAAATTTCGCCATCTCATTGCCTTCCTAATAGTGACAACTTTGTTGTTGAGCATGGTTATACTCTTTACGGTAAGATCCAAATAACTAAATTAATTACTGAGATCTGTAATTAATATTATATTTAATTCATAGATAAACCTACTACAATTTTCTATGGACCAAAAAATAATGATGGTCCTTTGATTATATGGCCTCATGGAGGCCCACATTTATCATCTTTAGACTTTTTTAGAGCAGATATTGCATTCTTTGTTCAGATAGGTAATGACAAGTAATAATATTTTGAGTACGATTTTTATAGTTTGTTTTGATTTTAGCTATTAGGTACTTATTAGTTATTATTGATCTATTACTAGGTTTTGCTGTATTGTTTATCAATTACAGAGGATCTACAGGCCTAGGTAAAGATTATGTTGAATCATTAATTGGTAAAATAGGTGATTTTGACGTCAAAGATGTTTATAATGCACTTCAGTCTAATTCATTGTGGTCCAATAGAAAATTGGTGTTATTTGGTGGTTCACATGGTGGGTTTTTGGTTACACATTTAAGTGGACAGTATCCAGTAAGTATCTACTGTTTTGTACACTACCTACTTAACCACAGAATATAATAATTATAACGACTGAATCTCTATTATCGGCTCGCCGCTCAAAGGTATCCACCCCTGACTTAACTATGTATTAATATTGGACACTTATAAAAATTAATGCAAGCATAGTAAACATTTTTCAGTTATATTTGAATTTATTACAGGCAATGTTTAAAGCAGTGTGTGCTCTAAATCCTGTTACTGATTTGATTACTATGTTTGGGTCAACTGATATTCCTGACTGGTATGTTGTATACTTGTATTGTTATGTTTATAGCAGATTATTTCATGTAAGCTGTTTTATTTTAGATTCAATTTAAAAGTGAATAAATTAGTATATACTTTATAGTATAGCAACACTTAAAATTTTTAATAAAGATAAACGATTACTTATTTTTACTTGTTTGTAGGACCATTACAGAAGCTGGTTATAATTTCTCTGAAGTAGATAACTTGGTAAATTCCAAAGACATTTTAATGAAATTAGCAGATTGTTCGCCGTGCAAAAATGTTCATAAAGTTCAAGCTCCTACACTTTTATTACTCGGTAAAAAAGATTTGCGTGTACTTCCATGTCTGGGTCTGGCATATTATCATCTTCTTAAAAAGCATGGTGTTCCAGCTAGGTAAATTTACTTTACTAATCAGTTATTACTATAGTTTAAATTAATATATAATTTTATTTCAGAGTGTTGATGTATAATGACTGCCATCCATTAAGCACTGTTGCCGCTGACATGGATAGTTTGATAAATGCAGCACTATGGTTTATCAAGTATTTAAATAATGATTTTGAAAAATCAATCAATTAAATAAATTATTCCTTATTAACTATGATATATTGGATATTATTTTGTTACATAAGTACCTTTGTACTTAATGTGAGTAAATACATGTATTGATAATTACAAAAAATAATCCTTAAAGCTTTAAACTTATTAAACACTATAATATATTATATTTATACTAGCTGATGCCTGATACTGTGCACTTTGTAACCGTAATAAATGGTAACTCATAAAAAATTATGATTGTTCAACTCCTTTTAGGTAATTTTCTGCAGTAAGTGCAACTCAGCAACCCTGGTAGGCAATGTTCAAAAATTTGATTTGATGCATGCTTGTACCTGATCTACCCGAATCTCCAATGGCAACCAACAATAAATAAATACTAATATCTTCTGATTATTATTTTTTTTTAATTAATAGAAACCATTTATAAACAACAATTTCCACCTGGAATCTCAAAATCCTCGTTTGAGCATCTCCCTGGGTAGAGTAGGAGGGTGAAAAATACTTTACGACCTATTCTCATCAGATTCATATATACCAAATAAATAAATAAATTATCATTCAAATCGGTCCAGCTGTTACGGAGGAGTTCGAACACTAACACTGTGACACGAGATGTTTATATATTAGACAAATTACAATCACATTTTAAAACAATGGTGCAAATTACACATGTATATATTTAGGGTCAATTTTGGTGCAAATTGACTACAGCCGGAAAAATAACCCCCAGACTATAATGTTACTGACAACTATTTACTAAGTGTCTAGGTACATGGAATTGATTGATCAATTATTTTTTAAAAGCTTATTAGAGTAATTATCACATTATTAATATTTAATTACAATTATTGAATTATATTATACTTGCTAGTAGTATAGTATGCCTACTTTTCATTAAAAAAATTAAAATGTAATAAATAATTTTCAAAAATTATCAATAATATTATTTTGTTTTATATCACAATTTTAAACAATGTTATGTTTAAAACAGCTATGTTATAAAATTATGATATAAATATTAAGAAACAAGTTAAATTGTGTTCAATACCTAACTATATATTTAAACTATGAACATAGATTGATTTTTTAATCTAATTTTTCTTTAATCTCTACTTGATTTTGAATTTTTTCAATGATATATAATATTTATAATGCAATGTTGTTAAAAATACTATTCAAAAGTATTTCAAATATTTTTAGATACTTTTTTTTAAGCTTTATTATTTTCTGATTCTTAATTCTTAAAACTAATTCTTAATTGTTTAATTGAATTTCAGTGTTGACTTTTCTTTTAACATCTATTGAAACAGTAGTAGCAGGAGCTAGTAATTCTCTAACAGACTTGACATTACTATGTTTATCCTATAAATTTTAGAACATTTAGGTAAAAATAATAAATATAGATGGTACTAGTAAAATCGACGATAAGCAATTTCTTCATAATCCATAAACCAAACTAAGTAGTAAATATCTCGTTTGAAAATTTTGTATTTAATATTTTTAAATACAAAACATAATGATATGTATTTGAAATATACTTGAAATACTTCTGTCTAAAAGTATGTAAAATGTATTTAAAATACAGAAAAAGTATTTAAATAGGTATATAACGAGTATGGTATAGTGTATACGGTATACCTATACTATAAGTATATATTTGTAATTAAATATTAATAATGTGATATGTACACTAACTATAGCGTTTAAAAAATATTTGCTCAATCATTTGCATGTGTTTGTGAGTAATATAAACTAATAATGTAGTCCAAGGATTTTTATTTTGATTACGACATATATTATACTACATTATTGTGAAAAATTAAATTTGAGTAAATAAATGGGTTACTTTTCATGTAATATCAAGTCGGGGCTACAGCCCTCCCAACATTTTAGCCCTAGTTGCGCCACTGCTTATGGTATAAATGGCTTAAGTCAAAAACGACTAGTTTTCAGGAAGATTAAATAAAACATTGCCAAATTATTCAAAATCGTTGACATTAATGTCTGGGCTGAAAATCAATTTAATTGAATATTCAATGTACCAACTTTTATGTTTTATGTTAACTATTAAGTAGAACTTTAAAATCAATTCTTCATTATTTTTAAGTGACTTAAGATGATTGGATTTTTATTATGAACAAAATGATTTTTATTAAGGACATTTACCAGAATATAGATCTCTAAAAGTCTTGTATAATGAAAGAAAAAGTATTTATTCAAGTTTTGTTGTATTAGGTACACTTTGTTACCTAAGTTCATCATCAAACTATTGTAGTATTATCAAATAATTTTAACAGATAAATACAATTTTAAGACAATATAAATTATTCGATTAATTTATTAAATATATATATATATATATGTAAAGTACTTTGTTTTGGGGATCATCTGTTAAACATATGACCCAAAAATATAGATAAGATTAAAAACCATATACTAGAAGATGGAGATGAATAGTTATGCAGATTGTAAACAATATATAAATTTATAGGTAGTACACATTTTAGATTTAACAATACCTACTAAAATAACAAAATATAATATTTTTTAAGTTATCAATCATTTCAATTGTCGCTATCTACACTATCACTATGAATACTTCCTAGTTTTTCAGCTCTAGAAGTTGATAGTTCTCCATCGGATGCCATTATATTGGAATCTTCTTCATCGTCTAACATTAAATCAGAATCGGTTTCACTGTCTGATAAGCGGCCAAACATACCACGGTTTCTACTTGTAGCTGCACTGCTAACTAAAAAGTGTGGATAAAAAATTATCAATAAACAATAATAAATATTATATTTATGAAAATTGCTGAAAACATTGAAAATTTGAAAAACATTTTATCGTGAACATTCTTAATTCAATTTCATAAATAAAAGAAGGACATTTCATAATTTAATTTAACTTTGGTAACAACTAACAAGTATTATTAAATACTTATTGTATAGAGTTGGTAAGCTATTAATAATTTAGGTAACCAATATTGAGTATAATATTTTATTCTATTTACCTCTTCCTTTAATACTAATGTCTGGAGTATTTTCTAAAAATTGGCTGTTATACGGTTCATTATTAACTTCTTCCAATAGTTTTAAATCATCATCTTGTTTATTATTTTCAATAATTTTTTTTGCCATTTCCTTATTTTAATAAAAAAACATTAACTCATATTTTAATCTCACACCATAAAATATAATTCACCTGTTGTTCTTGTATGTGTATTAGTTCGGCCTGAGCGACCTGTTCTTGTTGATGCTCTAAGTAACTTATACATCTTTGTCTTGTAATATATTCTTGATATAAATTTCTTAGTTCAGATTCTAAGTCTTCAAATTCTTCTAAGAATGCTGGTCTATAAAGTTTAAACAAAATATTTAAAAAAGAAGAAAACAGGTACCGCTATATATGCCTATATATAATTTCTAATCTACAAATCATTTTTCAATAATTAATCTTAAAAAATATATATAGGTAGTCTTATAGATATTTTGTATTATTTATAAATTGTGTACAGTTATTTACCTCACTTGTTTCAAAGTTTGAAGTCTCTTTGAATTTCTTTCTAAATCTTCTCGCCGTTTTGCAATTTTTGCATCCAGGTTAGCTTCGGTTGCTGAAATATTTTTTATTAAATTTGTAGTGTGTTCAGTTTCTTTTTTTGTTTTCTGAATTAGTGTCTTAAGGCTTTGTTCAACTTCATTTATATCCAATGCAGCATTAACTCGACTATCTCTGATTGGCCGTAGTTCGCTTTCTTCTTCCAAAGAACGAAATAAAGCTGCACCTTTTTGAGTAATTTTTGATGCCAATTCTCTTGTGGTTTTTAGCTCATTGGCCTGACATAATATTAATGACCAACTTAATCAACTGTACACAAGTCCATTAAAAATTAGATTTAAAAGAATACTTTGTAAGTTAAGTTAATTTCCAATTTGGTAAAACCTTCATCCTCGTAAGTTTGTTTTGTATTTAATGCATCGTTAAGTAATTCAGTTATTTTTAATAGTTCACCTACTGCATTTCGATCTGCTTGATATAGTTTCTTTACATTTAACTTGACATTGGTCTTAAGAACCTATAAAAATAATTTAAAATTTTTTTGGACATTCTCTAAATAATGTTTAGAAATAAACTTAGATATATTTACAAAAAATTCTACAATCGATCGAATGAAATAAACTCGTTGTTCAGGTGTTTCAATTTCTTGTGGTAAATTAGTGTCAGGTTCAAAACGCATAGCTAGCCAAAACAAAATTTCAGATACCAGACTAAAATTTGGACTATGGAAGCTATCCATAGATATTTGTTGATGATATCCTAATGATCGCATGACTTCAGTGAACTCTTTAAAAATATATTGTAACCATTAGCGTTTTAGAAAATTAGCTAGGTATGTATAAAGTTATGTCGTTCACAGTATTATAATAAACAATTGAATTACTTACTAAATAAATCCCTGTAAGACATATTAATATTATATTATAGTATATATTATATTTAATATAATTACTAGATAAGTAGGTAGGTTATTGCTGTACCTATGAGCTTCTGGCCAAAGGTAATAAAATATTTGTTGTTACTATTCGTTGCTATGGCTCTATGGGTAGGTTTATGTAATTACAGGGGTGGTGTATGGGGGTATACTGTAAAATATACCCTGTAAGCTGTAGGTACCTACTTCAAACAACAATAATGTATAATTTATTATAAAATATACTATTTCTATATATTTTGTATATTGTCTATTTATTTATCCACTTCATTTTTGTTGTTCTTCTTTATATACACCTACTCATTACTCATTTATTGTAATTCATATTTTTATTATTATTTTACTAATTAATAATAACTACTCGGTATGTCTATTTATGTTTTTGAAAAGACATAAATATAGACAAAAATATTATAAAATCTAGGTATAATGTCACGGACTAAGATATACAGGACTGGACACGACAAGGTTGGAGGGTGTGTGGGGGTTGACTACGAAATGTTTTACAACAGGCAGTGTTCGGGGGGATATTTTCCTTTTAGCATTAGTAGCGCCGTCCTAGTGGATACTTATGGAACTAGAACACATCATACAAATTTCTAGTTCCATAAGTATCCACTAAGACGGCGCTAGTAATGCCAAAAGGAAAATATCCCCCCGAACTCCGCCTGTTGTAAAACATTTCGTAACCCATAGAGTAATAAAACTATAGAGGCGGCATTAAGGCTCGTCCACACTATGCCATATGGCTTTGCCAAATGGCATTGCCAAGGGTGATGTGGACTTTTTGTTGGCACAGGCCATTTGGCAAAGTTTTGCCAACTGGCATGCCAAGCCGTATCCGTCGACTGTCGGTCAGGATCAAAGAAAGCCAAATGGCAAAATGAATATATGGCATATATCGGCATAGTGTGGACGCGCCTTTAGGCAGATATTATGATTATCAGATCGAAGCAAAATTGAACGCCATTGTACCCCTCTTACAACTCTAGTGAACACTAGATGGCGTTTTCGACCATGAAATTAAATGGATAATCGACATTATATTTTATTCCTCTACTAAAATGGTGATAACTGATAATAAATGATTAATGTTTGATTAGCATTAAAAATTATAATTTTAATTATAATTATAATTTTTAATTGTATTTTAAATTTTGTAAAATTGTAAGTAACGCGAGTCTAGCCTAAAATCATCATGGTCAGCTGTATTTTGTGCGCTCGGACTCAGAAACAAAAAAATGAAAACGAAAATATTACATTTCACATTTTCACCATAATATTATTATATATTTGTATATTATAATAAGAACCACTAGTATATATATTTTTTTGTAAAATTTGTTCTTCTTATTTTAAAATTAATTTTTATTATTCCTAATAAAATAATGTGTTAGTATATTTACAACAATTTATTTTTCATATGATGGTTGCACTGCAAGTACCCCGTTTTCGCTTCACTTTTAGAATGATATGGCCACCCCTTGTCGTAACCACAATATTCATCTCGTGTCCAGTCCTGTATATCTTAGTCCGTGTATAATGTATACTTATCTAATATCTTTCAATAACACTCTAGTTTATAGGTTATCCTCAGTGGTGAGCTGGCCATTTAACTATGGTATATTTATTTACTTACTGAAAACTAGAACCAATAAAAGTAGAATTATTATTATAGTATATAGCCATGCTATTGTCTACCTATATTTTCATTTTCATAAGGGTGAATGGTTACTACACTGGTAAACTACTCAGTGGCGTAGACAAGGGGGAACGTGGGGGTCAGATCCCCCCTTTCAGAAATCATGTCTACGCCACTGAAACTACTATAAGTTCACGTGACAAAAACCTCAATATATTTTATTGAGATTTGTAAGATGGGAACATTATTCTGTTGAAATAAATTAAACTGAAAATATATTTCTTAACACGAAAAGAAAACACAATATCAACATAATAAGTAATAACTTTAATACATTATCAACGGATTTTATAATAATATATTTAAATAAACAGTTTTTCAAAATATGGTGTTTGAAGTTGCAAACAACGAAAAATGTAAAAATATATATTATAATTTTTAATTTTTAATTTTAATTTTTACCAATGTAATTTAGAAATTTTTACAGAAAATGACAAAATGTCAATACTCAATAGAACAATAATTAATAAGGAAAAAAGAAAAGAGAAAAAAAATAACTCGGGGATGTGGGAGCGGTACGTGATGGCTGGGCCTTGCCGTCATGATAGTCGTCATCCGCGAGAAACGCGCAATCGACTCAGCTCGTCAGCCCATGGGACCGACCGGGAGAACGTATAGTAGCCCTTTAAAGTTTAAACACTTCGCCATCACGTACAACTCCCCCATGCTTATTGTGTCTCGTCTGGTGTTATTTTTTTTTCTATTTTTTATTTTCTTTCTTAATTATTGTTTTATTGACATTTGTCAGCATTTATAGATCGAATTTTGACAAAATTTATCAAAATCTCGAAAATTATCAATCATTGTAATTAATAAATTATAAAATGTTCAGTTTTTATAGCTAAGGATCGCAAATTTAAAACAAAGGTTCTCTTAAATAGTTCATACTGTAACCAAAAAATCTAAAAAATATATGAACACAGTTATTTTTTACAGACATTTTAAATTCAAATTTGGACGAAATTACATATTAAAAAACCTAGAATAACTATTTTAGTTATTTTGTTGTGATTGAATAATATTATTCGTGGGTACTTGAAACTTCTAAAGTGTACTATTATATATCTATGATAGACGATAGTATCACGGTTTTTGTTGATGTATAACGCGTTATAAGTACCTAATGGATATTGTGATATGATTAATTTGGAATTTATTATAGGTCAATTTTTTGTTTAATACCATAGATATGTATATAATATGTCTTATACCTAGACGGCTAGACTGACATACCGTCTCCGCTCAGAATCGTTTTTCTTATACAATGATATTATATCATTCAATTCAAATTTAATATCATCCATTATACAGTGACCCACTTGTAACCTACTGTACAGCAGAGCGACACCCACTTGCCCACCTTTTTTAAATTAAAGTTAGTATTTAGTATTTACTAAAACATTGTATCATAATAAGTTTTTTTAATCGAGTTGGCATAATAAATTGGAGCCCAGTGGCGTACGCAGAATTCGTTAATGGGGGGGGGGGTTACCATATTTTATATACAATGATCCTAGTCTAAATATAATATTCCATAAAAAAATCATTATTCGTATTTTACTTGGGGGGGGGGTTAAACCCCTAAAAGCCCCCCCGTCGGTACGCCACTGTTGGAGCCTGTAATAACTATACATGGCATTTGCAATATTTTTTATTGAGTAGACATCAATTATAAAATATGATGTATAATTTAGTCACTTCTTTGGATATTTGCATTCTTCTTAAAATCTTTGAATTCTGCTCCTAATTTTAATAGAAGTCTGGTAGAGTGGAATATTATTTTCTAGTGCTGATAAAAAACTCTAAAAATATGTTTTGCATATTTTGCATATTTTATTATATGATTAGGTATATTATTTATATTATAATATTATTCAGTAATAGTTATCTTATAAACTTCAAACTAATTTTGAAAAATTGTTTTTTTGGTGTTTTCTTGTTTTAACACCTTGCTAATTTTTTTTTTTTTTGCTAGTGAATAGGTATCATTCTTATTTTGACATAATGTGTTATGATATATTTGATTAATATTTGACTGTGTATTGAGCAACCAACCTTCAACCTTTGTCAAAAATGTTGTTTATATATTTCTTCAATACCTATAAATTATGTTAGAAAAATAAACAGTGAAAAATGTATAAGAAGTTTTAGATTCTGAGCGGAGCGATGAATGTATTGGTTTTACAATGATGTATGTTTTTATATTTTTATATTTTTATATTTTTTTTTTGGTTTTACAATGATGTATGTCTTTATATTTTTATATTTTTATTTATATTTTTGTGTCTGTCATCACGTTTTAGGACAGTAAAAGTGCTTCGATTTTCTTCAATAGTACCTTTTCTGATAGGAAAGTGAATCTAGTTGGTACTTTGGGGGGTCAAAAGTAAACATTTTCCAGTAGTTTTCACAAGCGCCGGGAAAAACAACAAAAAAATTAAGGAAAAACGGGAAGTTTTACTCAAAATTGGTTTTCCAAAAAATCGATTTTGGTTATTGGTGTAACTCTAAAACAAATGAACGTATATACATGACATTTTCACTGGTTGTTTATACTTGCATTTTCTGTACACGATAACATTTTCAAAATATTTTGATTTATTTTGAACTGTTTAGGGACATTTTCATTTTCCATTTTTTTTTTAGTTTTTTTTCTAAAAATATCAATAAAATTTTATTTATTGGTTGCGAAAGCTTGAAAATTTAATAGAAGGCTCCTAATATGTTGTTTCAAAGGCAGATGAAAAATATTAAAAATCCTTAGTCACAATTTTTTTTTATAAGCATTTAAAGTTCAAAAATTGACAAAATATGGAAAAATCACGAAAATTAGCAAATTATTTTGAGTTAAGAATTCGTAAAAATTTTTCTTTTTAAATCTAAGATTTGAAAATGAAACACAAGATTTCTTATAAGATTATCTACCTTTATCAATAAAAAAATCTCTACCAGACAGTCAAATTAAATTTTTATGAGCGTTTGAAATTCAAATTTTTACAACATTGGATATTCACTCGATCACTCATGTAGCGATTTCCTTATTTTGTTGTTATTCATAAACGAATAACTATAGATACATGAAAATTTCACTGAATGTTTATATTAGCATTTCCTATACACCATACAATTTTGAAAATATTTTGACTCTTTTTGAGCTGTTTATGGACATTTACAGCTTTCAATTTTTTTTAGTTTTTTTTTCTTTGAATATCAATAAAGTTTTATTTGTTGGGCCAAAAAGTGTAAAAATTTAATACAAGGCTCCTGATATAT